GGTTTCAAAGTTATTGTAAGGATTGAGAGGAGGAAAATGTCATTTGCTCAGTGGTCTTATTTTAGGATCTAAAGTGTATTATTTCAGAAAAGGAGGAACATGGAAATTCATCTTTACTCATAATTTGCACCCAGATAGTTCTACAGAACTGTTCCAGGATTTTGTGGCTTACAAGTGAATTTATCAGAGCCTTATTTTGGGGACCAGATTTAATAATCTCTGCTTAGTGCTTCCCTGGAGCCCACTGCTGTTAGTGACAAAGAAACCACCAGAACCATGTTGGCTGACCTGTGATAAATGATGGGTGAAAAATCCCCCCAGCAGTTTGTAACTAAGATGGTGACCATGAGGAGGGGGGGTTGGTCAGCTGTTTTTTCTCTGTTTGCTTTGTTTTCTTCATTCTTAGGTTTGTTTATATGCTAACAGAAGTTAGGCTGTTCATTGATTTCCTTTGTTTGACACAAACTTATCTTTAACTTTAGTCTAGGCTAAAAGATAAGATAGAGTTAGATAAGTCAAACTAGAGATGTTAGACAATAGGAAAGCGGCATTGTGATAATTCACCCCGGGTGATGGCAGGACTGGGAGGAAACAAAGGAAGCAGGTATTTTACTTCCCTGCTTTTAATGAATATTTGCTCTAAAAGGATAAACATGTTAGTTCTTAATCTCAACACTTCCCCCACAACAAAAGATAAAATAAAAAACAGACTTAATTAAAACTGTCAAAAAATGTATTATTTTCTCTTTTTCTATAACAGCCCTCAAAGCAGAATTTTTTGCATTTGCTCAAGGTGTCAATATAAAGATGAGCTGAGCTTTATCTGAAGCTCCTATATTTTCCATGCTTTGTTCTTTGTTAATACCGTATTAACTGGTAATTTGTGCAACATCAATGATCTTACCTGTGGGCTTCCCAGAGCTTCAAGCTGCTGCAGCAAGTTGTTCTTGGCTATAATGAGCTCTGCCTCTATCCTTTCATATTCCCTACTGGAGCGCTCCAACTCCTGATTTGGGAGTGAAAGAAAACAATCAGGTGAAAACTGTTTTCTTGAAAGCTCAAGGTTGAAGGAATCCTTCAGTGTCCATTGTGTGTGAGGAGAGGATAGCTTTAACTCACAGTAGTGACTCTGGATAGCTCTCTGCAGGTGCTGAGGAGGCCGCTCTGCAGCAAGTCTCTCTGCTGAATGACGCCCTGCAAGGCGGCCGGGTTTTCAGAGCCCAGCTCAATCTCCTGGCTGGCTGACAGAAGCGCCGTCTCCAATGTGTGCTAAAAAACACAGATTATCAAACACTCAGAAAAGAAAAATGTCGTGATCATAGATCAATTTAAATTAAAATTAATTAATTTGGGGATTCAAATAATCCTTAATTATGTCAGTTTTCTAGCAGGATATTTATGAGGATATAGCAGGATATATTTTTGTTAGCAATGTGGATTTTAATCAAACTGTTGTTGTTTTTTTTATCTGCCCCTAAATACTTAACATTTAAAAGTAACTTGTTTTTAGAATTGGATTAAAAAGACTAACGTTAAACCTCTGGAATGATCTTAACCAAACATATAAAAATCACATAGAATAAAAAGCAGGACTGTGCTGTGAAACCAAATACTTTAAATGAGTTCTACCAATTCTGATAAGAAACATCCCACTGGAATTATACAAGTTATAATAAATACACTTTTCTCCAAAAAGGTCCCTGATTTTGCTGCAATCTTCATTTAGTGACATTTTCTAAACATTACATTTTATTTTGTTAATATATATATTTATATTTGTATATATATATACAATATTAATATATATGGATATAAAATCCACTGTAAATTCAAACTTGTGGCCATTTTTGTTCTATCTTCTTAACTTAATTAAATAAATCATTTTAAAAAATCCTTTACCTTCTAGATTAGTTTTTAGAATAGAATAGAATTGTTCTAACTGTGTCAGAATTTGTTTAGTTTAAAACCTTAAAAAAAAAACTACAAAATCCCCATCTGAAACAAAGAAAATAAACTGTTTAGAATAATTTAGCTTTATTCCACTGGACAGGGGCGGATTTACGAAAATTTGGGGCCCTAGGCAAAGACAGGCAGGGGGCCCCTCTGAATTGAGAAGACAACACATAAAACAGGCCCATTCTACAGATAAAGAAAGTTTAAAAGAATGGACATACAGTATTTGTTCTACCTTTATTCCCTCTCTTCTTATCCCTTTTCTTGAGGTTTTCCTCTCTATGTTTTCTTTTTTCCCTTTTTCTTGTGATTCCAAAAAGGTGAAAGTAAATAACCCAGTCCTTCTTTTCACTGTAGACAAGCCATGATCTGTTTATCTGTTCTCCAATTTTCATTTGAATGAAATAATAGCTGCATGAATCATGACAGCAGA